TGCCTTCAACTCACAGGCAGAAAGGATCCACACCACGGTGAATTTCAGCTTTTACTTCTGGATCTAGAGTTACCCCACGGCAGTTTCCTGGGCAGAAGAGTTTGGGATGGCCTGGCCCAAGCCAGGCTGGTGCTGCTGAGCTTTCTCCATCTCATCTGAATAGTTAATGAATAATTCATGTAAATCATTCGTTCATTCATTCATTCATTCATTCATTCATACATTCATTCATTCATTCATCCTCAGGGATATCAGGTGATGGTTTCTGCCTGACCAGGGCCTGCCAGGTACCAGGAAGGGTGAAGATAATTTTCTCCCCTCCCCAGAAAGGGAAATTAACCTCACTGTGTGGAAATGCTGTCAGAGAGTATTGTCAGTGCTTGCCTTCCTAATACAGCAAGATTGAAAAACCCTGAGCCCAGTATTGCACATTTGGAAAAATTCTTAATGACTATTTAAGGTCAGAACTCCTGTGCTCCCCCATCTCCTCATTTCTCTGCTGCATAAAAAGCTCTCAAGTGCCTTGATAAACTTGAGGTGAGCAGGCTTGTGAGTAGTCCTGCAAATATATTTTATTGCTTCTATCTGTTTTTATGTGGATGTGAGTCTGGAGGACAGACTTTTCTCCAGCCTTTTCTGCCTAGAACTCTGGCTTTTGGTTAAAACTGAGTTTGAACAGCAACTTTCAACAACCTTGGAAGCCAAAGAGGACCTGGCAACATCTCAGAAAAAAAGGGCTACGGGAGGATATTGAGGTAGGTGATTAACCTGATTAAACCCAGGGCCTAAGCCCGGTCTCTCAACCAGCAGGAATCAGAACCATGCTCTAGAAATGAGATGCAGGACTTCAAAGTCATGGTTAATTAAGCAAGAAAAGAAGGACAATATTGTATTACATCATTTACTCAGGGCAACATGGGTGCTACGTGCTGTACTGATAACTGCTAAATGAATTCTACGGTAAGAGGTGCACAAAACCAGATATTTAAACACTTCCTGCCCTTCACAGAGTGGATGTCCACCTCTGGACATGAATTTTACCATCAAATATTCCTCTCAGACTCTCTCCAATGAACAACAGCTCCGTGTCTGAGAGGAAGATAAGCATAGCATTTTTCAGTTCACTATTAAAGCGGATTTATGTGTTTGTTTCCTACCCAGGAAGGGTATTCCAGCAAGGAGCCACTTTGGGCTGGATTCCCAAAAAGCCTTTACAGAGATGATCTTCACAGCCCCTTTCCAAAGTCACCTGTCCAGTGACTCTGTGAGGCTGCGAAATTCTCCTTGGTTAAGTATTTCTGCACAAGGAAAACAGAGCCATAAATAAAACCCAAACTGAGTTTTGTTTCCTTCCCAAGAAGGAAACTTAAATTAGAATGGCCATCCTTTTAATCCACAGCTTGCACAAACATCACCTTGGATGATATAAGAAATCAGGAAAAATATTTTTTTTAAAAGTGATTTTTGGTTGCTGTTTTCACATCTGCCCAGGGGGACAGAATGAAATTCAAGACCAGACAGTGCCAGGCTTCCCAGATCCACATCTCCAAGAGGATTCACTGCAATTCTTACATTTTATTCCAATGCCACTGGTGAAAATGCTCAATGAGATTGACCCCAGGATTGATCCCTAAGGATCTCCAGGAACAATCTTCCTCCAGCTCAGTGTTTTCCTTCTTAAAAATGTTGGTCTTTAAAAACATAGTTTCATTTTCCTAACAGTAGCAGATTAATCCTCAGGACATGTATGAATTAAATTAATTCTGGAGCATAATTTCAACAGCAGTGAAATTATTTAATGGTAAGCAAAGGACAAAAATTCAGATATTGACCAATATTATAAAGAAAAAAAAAAAAAAGATGAGATGGAGGATGACAGATCACCAAAAGGAAATTTAGAATAAAGATTTTGTGAGCAGGCAGACTCTGTGAAGGGAATTAGAATAAAATCAGAGCAGGGAAGTGGTACTAGCCCTTGCTGAGAGGAATGATGGTTGATCCTCTCTCAGTAGGGTGACCAGATCCGGGGCATTTTTCTCAATTAAGATTGCTCAGAAAAAGTTCAGGTGTATCACCTTCAGTTTCTAAACACCCTGAACATGCTTTTATCGCCTTCTTTTCCTTCCAGTTTGACTCCACCATTCCCATAATTTATTTTTCCCAGAAAAACCAGGAAAAAAACCCCAGAAGCTTTGCCTTAAACATTTATCAGCACCTGGATCCCCACATGTAAAGACTTTTTTTCCTTCCTCAAGCACCCCCAGGCTGATGGATCAAACTGCAGGAGCTGTCAGAGGCAGCTGTACTACACTAAATATTTCCAGAAAATCACATTTATCCACACAGTGATTTCTACATCACAGGCACAAAGAGGGGGAGAATCTGATGCACTCACAGACACAAACACAAGTGTCTGCTTTGGGGAACAATAGTGAGAAGGGAGTTAAAATAGTGATACGGATTGTCACAACATTATCTCAAAATCAAACTAACGTCATCATGCCAAAAGCAACACTTTATGCAGCACTTCCTCAAGAACTGATGGGGTTTTTGGGTTTTGGTTTTTTTTTGGTCCAGAACTTTCTTTTTCTTCTCTTGAAAATAAATATTTTTGAGCTGTGCTTTTCAAAATTTAGACCAAATCAGACCTCAAATAGCAAAGTGTTTTGCATGACAACACACATTCTATTCAAGCAGTTACTTTAAAGGTACAGAACTCTATATGAGTCCAAACCTTTACTGAAAAAATGGTTTTTCCTTCTGCAAAACAACTGCATGCTTTATCTTCCCCCAAAAATGCAGTTTAGACTGGTGGGGGGAAAAAAAATTACCTGGGAAATTAATTGTAGATCAATATCAAGGAGAACTGTTAATAAAGAATCTTTGGAATTTGATCTGTCATTCCTAACTTTGGTTAAGTTCCTGCCTTTAAAAACCCATTTCAGGGCATTTTTCTCTATTTTGTCTCCTGTCATTTTGGGTAGGGGAGAAGTAATTGAGTGATGTGACATTTCACTGGCACACCTGGAAAAGGTGGTCCTATAAACACCGAGTTAGAGAACCCACAAAACACGAAACAAAACGAGTCTAAGGTGGGCAGATCTGCTAAAGAGGAGTTTTAATTGAATTGAGTGAGGAGAAAATCCAGAAGTGCTCATGCAGAGACCTTGACTTTTATCAGAGACAACCAAGCAACACCAAGTATTAATTCAGTGAGTTTTAAAAAATGATTTTTTGAGGCATTGCCACAGGGTCACCTTCCCAAAGAGCATGAGGGAATTTTAAATACATTTCACCTGTCTGGGTGAATTGGGCCACATCTCCACGGACTGGGATGGGATTGAGTTTAAAGACAAAACAGAGATCCCCACTTCTCTCACAGACAAACACACTTCCTGAAGAATTTTCACTGATTTCCTGATTTTTGCAATACCACCTCTGCTCTCACACAATGAAAGACCCACACAGATCTGGATTGGAGACTGGTGGGTTTTTCCCAAAGTCGACTGGAAAATGGAAGCCTATTAAAAAAACCCAAAAAACAACCAACCAACCAACCAACCAACCAACCAACCAACCAACCAACCAACCAATCAAACGAACAAACAAACAAATGAACAAACAAACAAACAAACAAACAAACAACAAAAAACAAACAACAAAAAAAAACAAACCAAAAAACCCCCAAAGAAAAACAGCAACAAAAAAACCAAACAAAAACAAAACCAAAACCAAAAAACCAAACCAAAACAAATCAAAACAAAAAAACACATAAAACCAACCAACAAACAAAAACATAAAAACAAAACCCAAAACAAACAAACAAACAACAAAAAATCCATGCACCCAAAAAAACCCAACAAACAAAAAAACCCCCAACACAACAAAAATCCAAAAAACAAAAGCAAAAAAAACCCAACCAAGCAAGCAAAGAAACCCCAAAACAAATAAAACAAACCAAAAAAAAAAAACCCAAAAAAAACCAAAAAAAAAAAAAAAAAAAAAAACCAAACCAAAAAAAAAAAAAAAAAAAAAAGAGAAAAGAACAAACACTCTGATGGACTTTATTACATGTGCCAACGTCGTGTAACATTTCCTATTTGCAACAACAACATTTTACTATTAGAAACCCAGCAGTTTCCTGAAAGTGGGGAGTTCTGTGGGATGTTCAGCTCCTCTTAGCTCCATTTTCTGCTGCAGGCAGAATCAAGCCAAGCTCTGGCACTCCGGGTTAAGTCATGGAACATTTTCACTTTAAAACCGAACCCATATACAAGCTTTTGCTGAAAGCATTGTCAGATCAGCACGGGAAGATTTTAAATCAGGCTGTGCCTATGAATGGGTGCATGAATGGTTCTTTTGTGGCCCTGCCACTTCCCAGGCACAAAGCCTTTTTAGCAAGCAAAATATTTTGGCCATTCTTATTTTTTGCTGTGTGATTTATAACACTGTCCCAGAGCCCTTTGTGAACTCGAAATGCTGTGACTGTGTTTTTTCAGAGAGGAATGCTTAAATATAATATTCCCAGATCCCTGTGTTCCTGTATGAAGGCTGCAAATACTGACAGGGATGCCTTTAATTGAGTATAGGGTGGAATTCTGGCAGAATCAGAGCAACTTTAAAAATATCAAGTATTTTACCAAAGAGCTTTCCAACCCATAGAGCACAGAAGATTTCAAGGACTGACTTCAGTGGGATTTTTTCTGCAGAAAGAGCTGACTTCTGTCTTAATCAAGAATGGATTTCAGGCTCCTGAAAGCAGAAACCTGAGGTCCACGTTTAGGTCTTCATTTTGACCACTGAAAGGTAAATGCATGTTAACTTTGTCTTTTTGGTGAAGCCTGAAATCTAAATGAATGCATCAGTTTGGGGCAAGACAAGCTCAGGCATTAACACTTTTTGGTAACTACTACCTTTGCTCATAATGTCTAACAAATGAAGACAAATTTTATTTATTTTTTCAAATGCATTTTATTTTTATATATATATATATTTTTTTTTTTTAGAAATCGCCCTAAGGGAAAAGCTGGAGTATCAAAAAAATCACAATTTTAAAGGCTGCGGGTTTCTGCAGAAAGTTAAAATAGAGTCAATATCAACTTCAGTGGCACTTTACTCCCAAAAACTAGAACACCTTGCAATGCAGAGTGCCACAGAGAACACTTTAAGAAAAGGACATTTCTTTGTGTGCTCTGACTGAGAACAGACCATTCCAAAGTCACACCTGCACCTCAAACAAATCTGATTTATCCATTCCCAGCCTGGGCCGTGCTGGGTTGGGATCACATCACGCCTGGTGTCTGGGAAATGGCTGATCCCGAGCACAGCCAGAGGTGTGAGGATGCAAAAACAAATCCACAGTGCCCTCCCTTCCCCCGTACAGGTGATAAAAGGTCTGCACAGGGGCTGAACTCAACTTTTGGATACCCACAAATGAGGTGCAGGAGGCCACGGCTCTGCAAGAAGCGCGGTGCAGGAGGGTTTAGAGCCTCAGAGCGAAGAATTTGGGTTTTCTCTGTAAAAAAACACCTTTTAGTGTGTAAATTATCCCTGCTGGAAGCACCAGTGCCCCGTTCCCCAGCCCACAGGTGGCTACATGTCCTCGAAGAGGTCCTCTGGCTCACAGGAGTTTTCCAGGGTTTCCAGATCCCAATCCGGGCAGCGCTGCCCCGACGTCGCCTGCGAGGACAGGCCAGGCCTGCAAACAAAAACCAGAGGGGTGTGAGACAAATCTGGAATCAGATATAAGTAATTCCAACACGTTTTGAGGTTTTTTCTTCCTAAGAGGAAAGTGGTTTCTGTGAGAACCTCGCTGGGGTGGCAGTGGCAAAGCAAGCAGAGGAAATTCAGTTTATTAATGTCAGCGCTTCAGCTGCTCTGCTAAAAGTTTTTTAAACACCCTAAAATTGAGCATTTCACCCACAATTTCCACTTGGAGAGCTGGGAAGAGCAGCACAGATGCAGGAATCATGCTAAGAGACCATGTTATTTATTTCTGCTCTCTCTCCTGGACATGATTCCAGTAAAGGCAGCTGTGCCCTGGTGCCTTGGGAAGGTGATGTATCCTGTGTTTCCAAAAACAAAACAAAACAAAAGTGAAAAAATTGGCATTTGCAACAGCTTCTGATGCCTGTAGGAATTATAGGAATTACACTTATATAGGCTGAATCCACAAAAAAAAAACCAAAAAACAAACAAACAAAAAAAAAAAACAACCAACCAAACAAACACCCCCCCAAAAAAAACCCCAAAACAAACAAACAAACAAAAAACTAAAAAAAAAACCCAAAAAAACAACAGAATCCTGCATAGAAACCTTTTTTCCTGTGAGTTTAGAGGGGATTTATCAATCACAGGGTGTGAGTTCCCAGTGACAAGGCATTCCAGGGACCAGCATCAGTCACTGCCTTGAGAATAAGATGTGCTCTCCTAACCTTGGCTCAGGAGCTGGCTGCAGGGAATGGGAGTGGGAAGCAGGGATGAGAGCTGGTGTGCTGCACTGCAGGATTTGGGGCTGGCTGGAGCTTCACAAGGGTTGAGGGCTTGTGCCCAGGTTTGTTACACCGCTGCAGTGCTGACAAAAAGGTGGGAAATTCATGTATTACCTATGATGGGAAGAGCTGGAGAGAAGTGGGGGAGAGCTCCACCTTCCAGCACTGCTCTGTGAGATGGGGCACAGAATGAAATCTTAATTTTCAGACTCATTCAGGCATCTGCCTTCCACTGCTCCGTGTGGTAAAGTCAGTACTGAAAATTCAGGAATTTTCAGAACCAGATTTTCTCCGTAACTCCTAGCCAGGAATCTCCAGGGAGCAGAAGTCTCTACAACACTTGGCAATTCCAAAGGGAATGAGCTCAGATGCCAGGCACTGTGTGATTCCCACTTCAGGCTGCTCTGGCCCTTGGAGGCTCAGAGCTCTGAGCATTCCGTGTTTCCTGCAGCTGGGATTTGAGTTCCACCTTGTCCCCGTTGGGCTCCAGGGCAATCAGCAGAATCCCAGTAATCCCAGAATCTGAGTCTTGGATGCTGCCACTTCCTGAGGGCTCTCCAGAATTCAGAAGGATTTCCTCACCACGCTCTCTGCCACTCCAGCTCTGCAAACCCCTCTAAATTAAATGTATTGCTATATTCAGATTATGGTAATTACTTTCTCTGAAAGTCTAATGAGCTTTCTCTGAGAACTCTTCCAAAATGCTCTTCTCCTGGCCGGAATTTTTGCCAAGCATCTTTTATATTCCTTTTGGCACGCAGTGACACCTAAGCAGATACTCGCCTCACCAGAAATCACTGGGATTAGCTGTGAAACAGACCTGCAGGAATTGGACTCTTCACCAAAGACCTCAGAGCATCCCATGATGTTCTGGTAGCTAGAAATCAATTTATTTAAAAATAAAACACAGGTGCCAAGCGCCAGCAGAGGTTATCAGGTTCAATCACTGGAAGTGTGGTGTCCTTTTACCCCTGTGGGTCCATCTCCACTGAGAACAACATATGTGAACCACACAGCGTGGAGCCACCCCCTGATCATTTAAATTAATTCTGAAAGGTCTCATTAGCAAATAAATTAAGATGTGGAGGCCTTTGTGCCACCACGGGATATTTCAGGTATGGTTTGTTGTTTTTTTTTTTTTTTTTGAGCATGTGGTCCTATACTATTCAGGCATGAAGGAATTAAAAGACCTCTGAGACTCCACGTTTGTTGACTGTGAGGGTTCAGTTGTTTCCAGAGTTTTCTGATTTGGACAAGGAAGCCTGACAGGGTTTAAGAAACATCAACAACCATTCCATCCTCAATGGCTAAAATAACAGTTTTCAACAGCATTCATGAGATCACATCTTTAAGCCAAGCCACTGTTGAGTTTTCACATTGCACAGTGAGAACTATTAAGCTTCTGTGTCCTTGTAACAACATGGTCCTCATTTAATCTCCAAAAGCTGCAGCACTGTGCCTCTGAACAAACCCAACCCCACTTGCAGAGTGGAGGCATTGAGCTCCTCACACAAAGCTCGTCAGCAACTCAATTTTGGTTTTAGGACTTGGTGATTCCCACTGGCATGGCAGCTGCTCCCTGAATTGCCAGCAGCCTGCTTTGTGCTGTGAAATTATTCTGGATTTCTCAGAGAGGCTGTATTACCATATCCTGATACATAACTGAGTTAATTCCTCTGAACTGCAGCGAGCTGCTGCTTCTCCTGCCAAGCAGCCTGTGAGTGAGGCATTCTTCCTGAAAGTTTATTCTTCTGTTGGATCTCTTTTTGAAGTCTTGCCTTTTGGTAAACTTAAACTCCATTAACACATCTGGAGAACTGCTGACTATAAGAGATCATTTCATATTTCCTGACATTTAGTTCATAAATTAAGACAGAAGACCAGACCCACAGCTGGTGTGAATCACTGGAGCACTAATAATGTCACTGCAGCTCTGCTGACTTACACCAGCTGAGATTCTGGCCCCAGATCCGGAAGAAAGTGGTTACATGACTTGGTATTTCTTTCCAGAGCTGAGCAGGAGTCCTGAGGAGCAGAAGACACGCGAGGATCTCCTTACCCAACAGCTCAGAGCCACCCAGGGCCATGGCTCTGCAGAAGCTGCACCAAAAAAACTTTATTTTCTGGAAAGAGGAAGCGTCCTTGCACTTTGCTTTGCCTCCAGAGCCAGCTGTGGTTATGACTCTGCCCAAGCTTTTGTCCTTGAGCAACTCTCTAGGGATTTGGAAAGAGAAGAACCCTTGCAAAGCAACGAGGATGGAAAGGTTTCCCAAGAAACTTGAGTAATCCAGGACTGTGCCCCTGAACCATTGCGTTATTTACCTCATTTTTTATTAATTAAAATAACTGCGTCCAACCATGAGCTGGAATTTTACCAAGAGCTGGGATCTCAGCTCTCACCATCTGAATTTCTCAGTGTGTTCATCCTTCCCCAGCTTGGTTTAATGGTTCCCTGCTTCATTGGAAAATAATCTTAATGAAGGCTTAATACCATGAGTAGATAATAAAAGATAAAATCTGATACACACTTTCTTCAGTATCATAAAAATAGGTGTCAGCAGCAGCTCGCAGACAGAGAATTATTACAAAATTAACACAGGAACCTCACATTTTTAAGGCCCCTCAAACCCCGACTAAAACTCATGTCTGCAGCTAAAATCTTGGCCTTGAATAACCAATGCCCCGTGGTGCTCTCAGTGCTCCTGGGAGAAATCCTGCCTGCCCACGGTTACTGGGAAACAAGAGGAAAGTTAACCATAAAAAGAAAAAGCAATGGTGTCATGGAGGAGGGGGGAAAGCCTCTCACATGAAGTGGTGCATTGAGAACATTCTCTTTAAAATGGAATATTAAAAATGTGGGTAGGCTAAATGGGAGTTAGATGTGATTAAAAATATGATGGTGTTCCCCCTTAGAAACATGCAAGAGTCACTATAACATAAGGTAAAATATAGAGGCATTTTTCTTTTTAATTCAATGTAGAATGGAAAAAGAAAATAAAATGTTTTACATTTTGGCAGTAGTAAGAGTATTCAGCTTCCAGATATAGTTTTTGCTGGCATTTATTCCTAGAAATTATAAGAAAGCAGACCCATATACTTCTAAATAATCCTGCAAAATGTAAATCCCACCAAGTCTTGGAGAACTTGCTGGATACATTCAACTTCATGACTTGAAATTAGAGCTGAAGGACTTTTCCCTGAGTCAGGAAACTGAGATTTTTTTGTGCCGATCTGAAGAGAGCAGTGGTGTCAGAGACCATCAGAGCCCAGTCCATGCCTGGCAAATTAATAGAAAATAGAGAAAAATACTGAGGAAGCAGCTGAATAGAACAATTCCTGAGATATCCATGCCTGGCATTCCCCTGAGCTCATTGTGTCGAGCAAGTCCAGTCTCCTTTGAGGTCACCAGACAGACAATGACAACAACAACAACAGCAATAATAACCATCATCATCACAATCCTGTTCGATTTCACAGCTAACGAAGAATATTTTCAATTCAGCAGCCACAAAGTTGATGTTCAACCAGGGAATCAAATGTTCCTTCGTGAGCTTCCACCTCTGGCTGGAGGCCAACCTGCACCTGCACTGTGGGGCAAGCCTGGAATTCCCTCACTGGAGCACAACTTAAAGCCAGACTTTAAAACCCAGGACAATTTTAAATTTTGTCTTCAGCTCCTGCGAGGGATGCTCTTCCTCCTCTGGGACTAGAAACCATCCAATTGGGATGATTTTGCTGCTTGTACAAGTTGTGTGGGGTTATTTTTTTAGTTCATGTATCCTGGGAATCCTCCAGAGGGAGGAAAGTGAACCTGGAATCCCTCAAATATCCTGCAAATTGACAAGCTGATTGCAGCAAGAGCAAACAAATCTTTTATATTGACAAGATGATCATATTTATCTCTTAATAACATAACTTTTAATATCTGATATAATTTCCGATAACTGGTCTAGATTGGTTTTCAACATTTATATTCACCCGCTGCATTTATGTAGTCCTACAAAACAGAAACTTTTTTAGGCACTTCTACCCTTTGAGTTGCAAATTCCCAATTAACTTCAGCTGGCATTGGTGCAGGCCCTTATGTCAAGAGAACATTTTGGTTTAGCAACATAAATAGAGCCTTGGATCTTTCCATATGATCAAACACGCTTACAGATGCTCACTAACAAAGACCTACTTAAAAATGTAATAATAGATGTCACTT